ACGACGACGACAGCGCCTACGACGACGACGACGACGACGACCACGGCGACGACGACGACCACGGCGACGATGCCGACGACAACGACAACGACGACGACCGGGCCGTGGCCGCGCGGAAGCTCCCCCGGGGAGGCCCCAACGGCGGCGGCGGCCTCCTCTGACCCTCACCGACCTGTTCTCTTCTCCCCCGAGATCCTGGCGGCTCCATTTGTCGAGCCGGGCGTTTTTTCGCCTGGTCCTGAGCCACGGGGCTCTCACAGATCGATCGGGCCCGACGAACGACGCAGAAGTATGGGGTCTCGGGCCCCGGCAGCGGTACATCACGATGTATGATGTTTTTCCGACACGTCGGACCTCAGGGCCATCCGCGGCCCCCAGGAGTGCCCAGCCCTTTTCCCCCGCCCCAGATCCGTCCTCCATGGCCCCAGGAGCCCGATAAGGAGGCCCAGAGGCCGAGGTCGAGGAGATGCGCCAGGATTGGAGTAATCATTCGGTGGTGTCGAGGTGTAGGACCGAGGTCGGCTCGGGGAGGGTACCCTAGTGTTATTCGTGCTCATTGGGTGTTCTTGTGCATCCTGGGGGAGGGTGCCCTCGAATGATCTTCAGTTTGGCCGGCGGAAGGTTCCATGTTTTGAAACATGTTTTTGTTGTCTTAGGTCCGACCATCTCGCCAGAGATCCGAGTCGACGGTGGCGACAACGACGACGTTCAACGACAGCGACGGCGACGTTCACTACTTACCAAACCACCCCAGCCCAACCCGAAGGCCCTAGACCTGTCTGAAATGTCGGGATGGAGGGTGTACGGGTTCATTGGTGTGTCCTCAGTGTTCTGGAATGCCCTCCTTACAGAAATTGCCAGGCCCACCGAAGGTTTCGGGATGTGTGGGGATGGCTCGTACCCAGACCCCGACGTCGTGCTTCGTCGACCCCGAGAGGTCTCGAGCCGTTCCCCAGCACCGGTTTTTCATGTGATTGACGGTCCTCATGTCTCATAGCGGCCCGCCCCCAGAGGCTGAAAGTTCGTGAAAAGCTTGCCGTCGTCGTGTTGTCATGATTCTCAAGCAGTGGCCAAGCGTCCTGGCGTGCCTATAGGCCTACCAAACAATATTCTAAGAACCGTTTGTGGCTTCCACGAGTTGGTCTTAGAACATTTCTAGCTGGGACTGTTTTGTTTTAGCACATCAGAACATTGCTGTTTAATATTGGAACATGTTTGGGCTCTAAGAATATTCCGTGGTAGGCCTATAGAAATGCCGGGACGGTCGGTCACTGCCCAAGATTGGAGGGGCCCGAGTAGATCGGGTTGTGGAGGGCGATCAATGGACAGGAAGCATGTTGCCAAATAGTTTCCATGTGTCCGAAAGTGGATTAAACATGTTTTAAACATGTGAAACATGGTTTAAGTATTTTAGAACATGTTGTAAACATGTTCATCACATGTCTGATTCAATGATCGGATTCTTAGGGTGCATGTTGTCATGGCATCCACAAGGATGGGTTCGGGCAGATTGCATCGCCTCGCCGATGCATCGCCGAAGTCGGTGTGGATCGAGTAGTGTTTTCTTCAGCGAAGGCAGCGCCAGACAATGTGGAACATCTAGGAGAATCGGGGATCATCTCGCGAGAGAAACAGACCGCACGACACGAACACATGCACGAGAAACATCGACGACGCCCGAGCGATGGGAAGATGGAGAGATGGTAGGGGCCCCAGAGGCCAAACTAGTGAACACACATTCCGTCGTGATTTGTGTTCATGGTTCGAAGGTCTGGGTCCTAGTGGGCCCTGGAAACGGCAGGGCAGTTTTTTCACTGTTTCCGAACAAGTGTCCCTTGAAAGTGGAGACGGCAAAACAAACAAAAAACGGCGACCAGAAACTGCCAAACAAGTGCTCCAATATTGGAACTGGAGCCAGAAGCGCTACAACAACGGCGACGGAACTTGTAAAACACGGCGTAGGAACCGGCAACAAGAACGGCAAAACGGAACCGGTGAGAAAAAACGGCCCTGTCGTTTCCAGGGCCCACAAAAGTCCGGGTTGGTAGGTCGTCAGACCTTCGCGGCGGCACCCCCGCGGCCGCCGCCCGGCGGCACTCCCAGGCGGCGGCGCCCGTGCTCGCGGCCGGCGCGGGCGCGGCCCCAGCTTCCGCGGAGCCCGCGCCATGGGGCGCCAGCGTGCTGGCCGGGCTCGGCCTGGGGTGACCTCGGGGGGCGGGGCAGCAAGGAGGGAGATGAGGGAGGTCTGGAGAGAGGAGGGAGGAGGAGGAGGAGGAGGAGGAGGAGGAGGAGGAGGCGTAAATTTGGGGAACGAACAATGACATCAACATAAAACTCGGAGGTCCGCGCGGATTTCTCGGATCCGCGCTGGACGCCCTGGCGGCGCCCCCTCCTGGCGCCTCCGGGTCACGGAGTTGCGGGTATGACGGCTGTGTCGGTTACGGTGCGGGAGCAGATTAAGCTTGCCGCTTCATGGCTCGCTTTCTGTAGACTTTCGGCCACCGCCCCTTGAGAATACGGTTCCGATAATCAACCCGACTGCAGTCGAGACTATGGTTGCATTCTTTGTTTATTTTTGAAAGAGCGCGCTCGTGCCACACTTCTCACTAAAAGGGGGGCCCCAGCTTCAAGCTACCCCCCCCATCCCTTGGAAAGGGGGGGGTGCTTCCGAAGCTACCCCCTCCCTCCCCATTTGTTGTGGGCATTTTTTAATTGAGGGGGGCCCTAGCTGAAGGCGGGGGGGGAGGGTGGAAGCTACCCCCCCACCCCTCACCCCTCTTCGGGGCCTGGTTTCAGTCCGGGTTCCCCTTTTCAAACGGGGAGGGCTCCCGAAGCTACCACCCTCCTTCTGCTTGGATTTTGTAGCCGGGGGGTACCTGGCTGGAAGGGGGAGGGGGCTCGGAAGCCATCCCCTCCTCCTTGTCGGGGCCCGGGGTAAGCTTGGGCTCCGCTCTCCAAAGGGGGGGGGGGGACTTCCGAAGGTCCCCCCCCCCTCCCCTCCTTCTGTTGTTGGCTTTTCCAGCTGGAGGGCCCTTTCTGACGAGGGAGCTTCGAAGCTACTTTTCTTCTTTGGCTTTCGGCGCTCCATTGGTTTTCGGCGTGCTTGTGGTTTTCGGCGCTTCTTTGGAGTTCGGCACCCGTTTGGTTTTCGGCGCTCCTTGGGCCTTTGGCGCCCCTTTGGTTGTCGGTGCTCCTTTGGTTCTTGGCGCTCCTGTGGCTCTCGGTGTTCCTTTGGTTTTCGGCGCTCCTTTTGGTGTTCTGCGTACCTTTTGGTTTCTGGCGCATTGTTGGTTATCGGCGCCCTCTTGTGTGCCAGCGCTCCTTTGTTTTTCAGCGCCTTCTTGGTTTTCGGCGCCATTTTGGTTTTCGACGCAGCATTGGTTTTCGGCGCCTTGTTGGTTTTCGACGCCCTTTTGGTGATCGGCGCCGTTTTTCGGCGCCCTTTTGGTTTTCGGCGCTCGTTTTGGTTTTCGGCGCACCTTGGGTATTCGGGGCCCCTTTGGTTTTCGGCGCCCTCTCTGTTTTTTTCTGCGCCCCTTTAGTTTTCGGTGTCCTCTTTTGGTTTTCGGGGCTGATGTGGTTTTCGGCGCATCTTTGGTTTCCGACACCTTTTTTGTGTTCGGCGCTTGCTTGGTTCTCGTTTTCTTTCTGGTTTTCTGTGCCCCCTGGGTGTTCGGCGCCCCTTTGGTTTTCGGCGCCCTTTCGGTTTTCGGCGATCTGTTGGTTCTCGGCGCCGATGTGGTTTCTGGCGCCCCTTTGGTCTTTGGCGCTCGATTGGTTTTCGGCGCCGTTTTGGTCTTTCGGTGTCCTTTTTGGTATTTGGCGACCCTTTGGTTGTCGGCGCCATATTGGTTTTCGGCGCCCCTATGGCGTCCTTTTCAAGTTCTGTTGCCCTTTGGTTTTTGTTGGCGCTCTTTTGGGCTTCGGTGTTCTTTAGTGTTCGGTGTCCTTTTGGTTTTCGGCGCTGCTCTGGTTTTCGGCGCACGTTAGGTTGTCGGCGCCTCTTTGGTTTTCGGCGCTCCGCTTGTTTTCGGCGCCTCTTTGGTTTTCGGCGTTCATTGGGTTTTCGGCGTACTTGCGGTTTTTCTTCGCTTCGTATGTTGTTCACCGCTCTTGTGGTTTTCGGCGCTCCTTTGGTTTTCGGATCACCTTTCGGTTGTCGGCGCCCTTCGGGCTTTTGGCGCCCCTTTGGTTTTCGCCGCTTCTTTGATTTTCGGCGCTCCTTTGGTTTTCGGCGCGAAGAGAACTGGCGCGCGGGGCCGCTGGACCCTGGGAACCGAGCCAAGCTGATGCAGACTTGACTACCAGCAGCAGTAAGACAGGCAGCGCTCGAGACACGCCCGATGTTTTCCCGAGCATGCAACCGGGTAGCCTCGTGGACGTGAAATCCCTCTGGGCTTTGTGCTTTCCGATTAAGACGACATCTCCAGGGTGCGAGACCCGCGGGTTTCTTTCTCCTTCTGCGCTGGGCGCACCATCCGGGGGACGCTCAAGTTAAGACCAAGGGGGCCGGGCTGCTGAATTACATTCGACTGAGCTTCAGAGAGCATCAGCAGGCGGGGCGGGGCGGGGGCAGCCGGTCTGACGTCGCCCTCGTCGGCCCACGGGTCGATCTCGGAGACTTCGCCCCGATCGGTGGCGTGGCTCCACAGCTGGAGTCCTCGAGGCCGAGAGTGCCGCAGAAGACGATCGACGAAATCCTTGCGACGAGTGGCCGTAGGACACGATGGACAACAGAGACCCAATGCCGATGAAACATCATGGTCGAAACAAAAGGCTTGCGGCCCGCGTGCTGTAGTCGCAGCGTCTTGCACCTGAGCGGGATGATGGTTGCGCTCGTAGAAGAACTCGTCCGCCCTTGATGGCCTGCAGACCACACATCGCAGACCGGTTCGCCTTGTGCCGAGCTGGGTTGACGAGGGGCCGAAGAGAGTTGTCTCGTGTCTTCTTTTTCCAACGCAAGGTGGCAGCAGGAAGAACGCGCGATTCGCACATTGAAGCACAATCGAACGAGTTGCTCTGCAACTGACTCTTGCAACGAATGCGATTGATGGCCGAAGCGATCGAGACGAAGTGGTTGTGCCAGTATTGCTGGAACAGCTTGCGTAACCCAGTCGATGCTCACAATTTGCTCGAGCTGCAGGAGGAGGCTCGCCGACGCCCTTGCCCGTGCTGTTGGCCGCGGCGATGGCCTCCTGGGCGACGAAACGCGCCTTGGACAGGCGCTCAGCCGCCCGCTTTGGGGTCGCCTCCTGTCGGCTGCGTCGGCGGCGGGCGCGCGGCCATCGGCGCTCGGCGCGGCGCTGGCCCCCCCTGCCGCGGGGGTGCCACCGGTGCCGCGACCGCTGCCTTATGCCGCCGCTGCCGCGCCGCCGTCGGCGCCCCGCTTCCTCTTGCCCATGCGTTCATGCGCAGCCTGCTGCTCCTGTGTAGCGTGGTCAATGAACCCCTTCCACATCGCATCCTTCTGCTTGATCGTGGTGCGATAACCGTCGAGCTCCTCCCTGAGAGCCCACAGCTTGACCTTCTCGGCCTCGTCACAGCCCCACTATTCGAAAAAGGCAAAGAGCTGCTCGTTCAGGTTGAGTCCGAACGCCGCTGGTTCGGCCTCGCTGTCGCCCTTAGCCGTGGGGCGAGAGCCTTCAGCCCTGGCTAGCGCGGCAGTGGCCACGCGGTTGGTGGCCTCGCGCTTGGCAACCTCCAGTGCCGCCTCCTGTTCCTTCGCCTCCGCCGTCTCGAGTTGGCGGCGGAGGCGCAGGACCTGCTCGACGAGCTGGATGTGCCTGTTGGTGGCCGCCCTCAGCGCGCCGTCGGCCTTCTTCACCTGGTTGACGTCCGGGGTGGGCGTCTCTGGCATGGTGTCCAGGCGCGCATTTTGATCCTTGAGGACCGCCAAGAGCTCGGTGTCGACGATATGGGCCAGCGCCTTTTCGAGCAGCTCCGTGACCTCGGCCTGCTGCCCTTGGGCAGCCTTGCCACCACGTCGACCGCCTCGCGGAGTGCCCACGGATTCCGTCTCGTCCTCGAAAGTCACCCGTCGCCTCTCGTCCCGTTCCTGACTGGGGGGGGGCCAGCCTTGGGGGCCTTGGGCTTGAAGAGACGAGCTTTGTGGGTGAGCACGAAAAAAACAACGGCAATCGTTCAGCAGCCACTCGTCATTGTTTTCGCACGTTTGGCAGAAATCGTACTTGCACCACGCACGATATACCTTGGTAGTATAATCTGAGACTCTCCCATGCTCCCAACTTTCGTTCACCAGATCCGAATGTGGGGGTCAGACAGGTGTGACAGTCCCTCAGGCACCTCACGGAGGCACTGGGAGAGGACAGAGTATGTGCCCTGCGCTCTGGGGCGAGGGACTTGGCGTTCGTGCCCCAACGGTTTGGCGAATCGGAAGAGTGGGAGGATAGGGGGAGGAGGGGGAGCAGGAGGAGGAGGAGGAGGAGGAAGAGGAGGAGGAGGAGGAGGAGGAAGAGGAGGATCAGGAGTAGGAGGAGGAAGAGGAGGATCAGGAGTAGGAGGAGGAAGAGGAGGAAGAGGAGGAGGGACATGGACAATCATTGTTTAATTACTCGTGTAGTTACTTCTCATCCTCCTCGTCCTCCTCCTCTTGCAATTATCCTCCTCCTTCTAGGAGCAGGAGGAGGATAATGGTATGGAGGAGGAGGATGAAAAGAAACAGGAGCAGGAGGGAGAACAACAGGAGGATGCGGAGCAGGAGGTAGAGGAGGAACAGGTGGAGGAGAAGGAGGAGGAACAGGAGGCCGCCGCCCGTCCAAGGGGCATATGTGGCCTGTGGCATGGCCACCGAAAGATCGGCGTGGTGGGCATATTCGCCCTGATGGCAGAAGGCTCCTCGAGCAGAGCGAGGGCGGCCCTGCCGACGGATGTGGATCGGCGGCGAGCGAGGGGGGGGGGGGGAAGTGAGAAGGATGAGGCTCGCTCAGATGGCGGCGGGGCTTCTCAGAAGCCCTCGGGCTTTCGGAGACGTGTCATGTGTCCTCGGGGAAGGCCTACGAAACTTCTCAGGAGGCCAGGGGAGGGGACATCCGACCCTTCCGATAAGTCCCGCCCCTTTCGCACTTCTCCCCAGGCTCGCTGCCGAGTAGAGGTTGATCTCCGAGAGCGGTCAACGCAGGCGCGCGTGCTACGTGGGGTTCCTCGAGATCTGTTGCTTTTCTCTCTGGCGCATAACGGTCGCTACCCAGGCCAACCCTTTGCCCCCCAGGTATTGGCAACAAACAAGTTAGAGGGGGGGGTCTGGACTGGACTCAGGCGATCGCAAACATGGATCAAGGGGACGTGGATTATCGACGGGTCCCGTTTCCATGGGAAATCGCGGATTTCCGCCGCCGAGCGAGGCGGCACCGGCCGCATTTTGGGGAGGGCACCTCCCCCGATCCATGGATTTGGCGACCGTGAGCCAAATCCGTGGATCGCTGATCCATGTTTGCGCGCCCCCGATGGACTGCCCCCCCACATGGTGTTGCGGCCTGGAGC